AGTGCATGAAATTATAAATATAGTATTTTCGCTATAATTTAGTTTGATATAAATAATGTAAGAGGTTTAGATGGTAACAACTTTGACCAAAACCTTATCAAGTTCCATTCTTATCATTATATGAGAAAATATTTTAGTTACAAAACGATTTTTTGTTATATAGATCAACCTGGAAATGTTTTAAGAATTCAAAGTCAAAGAGTTTTATAATCAATCAAACATATAAAAAGATATTATTGTCTATCCAATTATTATGTTTAATTTTCGTTACTGCACAATACACATAGTCTGTTTTGACCTAGTGTTATTGTTAGGGTTTGATTGAAATTTATTTAGGATGCTAATGATCACTTAAAGCTTGCATGGATAATGAACTTGGTTACATTTGTAACAAAATAAAGAAACACAAAATATATCTTCCTCTAGCTATAAATGTAATTAGCTACACGGATAATATAGATGGAATAATGCTCTTTAAATAAAAAAAACAAAACAAACAACAACTAAAAACTGATGTAACCATGCTCTTTAAAAATGAACAAATAAAAACTGTTTGTATTAGTTATAAGATAGTAATCACACCTGTAATCACACTTGTAATCACCTCTAAGTAATTGAGATTGTCAATTACAGTAAATTTTTTGATTGAGATCTCACCAATTTCTTCTGTGCTGAAGATCCCATAAAGTTATTACTAAATATTTATTAACTGAATGCTTATGGAATTTATTGAATGTAAAAACATCTTGTGTCTTTATCTAAAGGTACCTTGCCGTATGCCGTTGATGTTTTTTTTTTTCCTTTTCTAGGGTAAAATTTAACTTTGACAAAGTAAAAAAAAACAGCAAAAACATGGCCGGCCATTTTACGCCCAAATTATAGTTTAACTACAGCGGTTGTCATACTTTGTCCTGTACTTTATCCGGTACTTTTAACTACAGTGGTTGTCGTACTTTGTCCTTTATTTTGTCCTGTAATTTTAACTACAGTGGTTGTCGTACTTTGTCCTGTACTTTTGTTTATTTTTGGTTCTAGAAGTCCTATTCTTTCATTGGAAAGTCTGATGTTCAACTGAAAGTTTAATAATTTGTTGTTGTAGAAGATGCTCTTTTACTTTGTACGGAAAGAACGGGGCGGTATAAAAAGAGTAAACGTAAAAATGATATCAACTGCACTGTTTTATTTAGTTGTTGATATTTTAAAATCTTTTTATCTTGCAACAAATTTAATTTTCAAAGGGTCAAAATATGAGTTAAAAAGATGAACTTTTTAAATCAATTTGCAAACCAGATGTAAACAATAATTTATTTACTTTTTTTTACCAGTTTTACTGTTTTACAAAAAAAGGTTTTTTGTAAACAATAACAAATACTGCAATTTGTTCTGCTTCCTTAATGTTATCTTTTCCCAATGGTTGCAGATTTCTGTGCATAGTTTTTGGAATACAAAAATGCCTGTTACCTGTAATCATTTTCTTTATAATAGTATAACGAAAATATTAATTGATGAAATTAATACCAACAAATTATGAAAATATTTTAGTTGTTGTTTCATTTTTTTTTTGTAACAACTTTAAAAAAAAGTTTAACTTTAAAAAAAAATTTAATTAAAAAAAAAAAATGATTTTTAAGATTTTTTACTAAAAATTTCAAAACAAAAAGTTTTTAAACTTCAAACTAAAAGATTAAATCAATAAATACAATTTTAACAGTAAAAAATTGATAAGATTTAAATTAAAAAAAAGAGCTGTTAAAAATGGAGGTGCACTTAGCACTATTAAATGTAACTAAATACGACAAACTGAACACCTCCACATAACAACACTAGAACAATTTAGTGTTATATTTAGTGTCCAACCAGAATAAAAACATTTGGAAAATATTTACAATATTATTTTACAATTTTATATTGTTAAGTTTTATGATTTTTGTAATAACTTTTTAACCAGTGTAATTATGACAATAAAAGTGTTGTCTGGTTGTTTGTCTTTTGTCAACTAGTTGGTTTTGAGTGTTCCTCAATTTCCCAGAATAGTTTTAATTCTCATGGTATAAATTTAGCATAGTTTCTAGTCTGTAATTTATAACTAGTTTTGGTCTGCAGATTAGACAGTTACAACAAAACTTTATACGCTAACAAGAAAACCTAATAGTACAATACGCTAACAATACAGTATAATACGCTAACAAGAAAACCTAATAATACAACAAAACTTAATTTGTTTACAATCTTTGACGCATGCTACATTTAATATTTGAAAAAATGAGATATTTTTAAACTTTTCTGTTGATTTTTTTGATCATACGGTTTATAATCTTTTTAATTTGTTACATGATATGTTAATAAATCAATAATCAAATTAAAATTTATAATGTAGAATTTTAAAAACTTTATAATAGTGTTATTTCATGAATATAGGATTAAACTTTAATTTTTATGCACATGCATAGTTGTTTCTTAAAACAATCCAATAAACTGGATAACAGAATTGGGTGTTAACATTGCCAAACAAAGAATAATTTTTAAACTTTTTTAAGATTATATTTTAAAAAAATCGTAAGCGTTCATTTTAGAAAAATCTTAAAGAAAATTAATTTTTTATTTTAAGTGATATCAATTTAAACAAAAATGCTTGTATAATTGAAATTTATCAACTCAGCTCAACTTGTCGAGAAAACTTATGCAATTTGAATTGCATTATTAAAATGGTTTGAGAAAGTGTTATACTTTAACATGAATACAAAATACCAATCAAACGATAAATAGCTTTTGTTTATTTTAACAAGCAGCTTAAATTTTTAATTACTCGCACAAATGACAATTTTTGAAGCGTTTTTTTTTGTTTCCAAAATATTTTTAAAATAATTTTTATTTACTTTTACCCATTTTCGTATTTCAGTGATTTTTTGGTTACTCGTTGATAGCTAGAAACTTTTAAACCTTATAATGTTGCAAAATTGCAATGTTTCATAATTCCTAAAAAGTGCATAATTGCAATGTTTAATAATGTCTAAAAAGTGCAAAATTGCAATGTTTGATAATGCCTAAAAAGTGTAAAATTGTAATGTTTAATAAGGCTTAAAAAATGAAAAATTGCAATGTTTAATAATGCCTAAATAGTGAAAAATTGCAATGTTTAATAATGCCAAAAAAATGCTGAAAAGCAGTTAAGTAAGGTACATGGGCAACTTTTTTATTTCGGATCAAAAAAAAAAACAACTTTGATAAGAAAGATTTTAGCAGTACATTGCTTAGGGGAAAGCGGGGCAACATGGCGAATGGGGCAAGATGGGTTTTCATATAACAACTCAACAAAAAATTTTAAAATTGGGTGAAAACGAAACTGTATTTGCATCTTGTATTTTAAAACATCAATTGGTTTTTTGAAATATTATTAACGCCATTTTATACAAATATGTTTACTTTTTGCGCTTAAAATAAAATTCCTCACTTTCGGTTTCTCATAATGGTTGGTGTCCTTCAAGTTTAACTTCTTTAGAAGTAGTTTTAGCAATTTGTCTTTATTTTTTGTTACTTTAATTAGAGTTATTAGCAGTTTTTAAAATTTTATAAAATTGGAGGTAAAAATTGCATAAAAAGTCATCTTGCCCCGGTCACGTGACCAGATGACAAATTTATGAACTTTTTATTTTAATATTTATTTCAAATTGTTATATTTTCAAACTGAAAATTCATGCAGGCAATGAAAGAACTTAATAGCATAAACATACTGAGAAAGTATTATGGATTCACGACTTATAGTTTTTCAATAACTCAGGCCTTTCAAAACGTTCGCCATGTTGCCCCACTTTCCCCTATATATACTAAAACTATATGAAAATTAGAAATTTTTAAACTGGGCTTCAAAGTTCAAGATAATTGTATAAAATAATATTTTTATATTTTATGACACTATCTTACTTATTGAATTTTTTCTCTTCTTTTACTAACGTCATTAGTGTGTATAAAATAAAATGTTTTGTAAATTATACACACGCTTACTGTTAGTGAAAATTTTCCAAGTTTCGTACCATGCATATTCATTTATTTATTGATTGCTCAACTTACCTCATACTATTGCTTAACTTAATCCGCTGGGGCAAGTTCCGCAAACTTTAGAAAATATCTTAAAAAATTTTTAGCAGGTTAAATTATCTTTCTAATATTGAGAATATTATGTAAATCCGACGCACCGTTCATGAGGTCTGTTAGATTCATTAAAAATTGCTCAACTAGCCCCGTTCTACCCCAATGAATTAAGCATTTTAATATCTCAGACCATCATGGAGCCGGCATGATTAAATGCATGGCATTGCAGACTTTTTATTTTAATAAAACTGTTTTGTGGGTGTTTGGGCATACAATATTTGCGTACAAAAGTTAGACTATGTACCAGACTAAAGTAAAGCGTTTTATCGTTATTTTTTATTGAGAAAAGATCTCAATTTATACAAAACGCCAGTTACAGTGAACATTTTTGCTTCAATAAGACACTCCATGATAAATATTCATCAAATAAAGCAAGCAAAAATTGTGTAGATATTTTACGTTTAATTTTTATCAATGAACATTTTGGACAGTTTTAATAGGAGATTAGTTGATTGTTTTGTTTTATGAAGAAGAGTAAAGCTAGTTTTTAACAATTTAGAAATAATTTATTTGCTATTAACCAGAGATTAAAATTTTAAAGTTTGATGTTTATAGCTTCAAACATTGTCTTTGCATCGGAATGACAACAACTAAAAAAAAAATTTTCTTTCCAATACTCACCCTCTTCCCCGCTTTTCGTCGCTGTAAAAAACCTTTTAATCCCATAACTTTTAAACGCCAAAATATAATACATTTGATTTATCAAATCTGATACATGAATATAATAACTTATTATTATAGGGGTTTGTTTAATGATAATTGATATATTCTTTAATTTTTATATAACTTTCGATTATAATCACGGTTTATATAAATAAATTTAATTTTTTTTTTTTTTTAAATATCTTCTTTTATCAATATAAAAACGTTTTGTTATTTGTAATACGAGATAAATATATTTACAAAGTTTACAAATTAAATACTTTAATTGACGGCAAAAAAAAAACACCATTTACATTTACTTCAATGAATGACGAACCATTGCTCCGTAAAGTCCATATTTTGCCATAATGGAGCCTTCACCCCAAACTTTTTCTGTACGACGCCATTTTGCGCGTCTGTTTTGGAACCATACCTAAAAAAAAAAAAAGCACAAGTTAGCAACAAATTAATTTACGCAAATAACAACTATTAAATTAGTTAAATTTTTTTATTAATTTAAATCAAAATTGTTTAGATAACTTTGAACATAATTTTTATCATAAACAAATGTCAAAATAAATGTTTATTTTGAACAAAATAAAAATGAATTTAACTAAACAAGCACCAAACTTGCGTAATAAGTCATTAACTTTTTTTAAATAACCATTTGTTTTTGTTTTTTTTTAAAAAAAAAAAATTTTGCAATGACTAAACTATCTAAAAATTAATGGCTAATTATAAACTGACGGTAACTTATTAATTAACCCGAAATAAAAAGCGAGCAACCATTTAATAATAAATTTAAAGAAATAAATTTCTTTTTGTGCAAATGCTTCATTTTGTTACGTCATACTAATTGTTTTTTTCAAACGTAGAAAAAAAAGATCCTTTCAATGTATAAATACTAATCTCCTCATCATAAAAGTTTGTTAAAGTTTTTTAAGTTTTTGAATTAAAAAGGGCGTACAAATACCTTACATAACGTTTTTTTATTCCAAAACGTTTATACTGAAACAGAAAAAAAAGGGCAAAGCCGATTATAATTAACAGAACAAGGCTCAATAAAGGAAACGGTAACATAATCTCAGTTATAATAGTCGGAAATAGGCACACGCGTTTGCAAACATCAAACTAAAGCCGCTCTTAGAGATTTTGTTTCAGTTTAAAAATGTTTTATGTTTTCAATTTTAGTTCTTGAACAATTTGCTCTAACCTAAGTTTTTTAAACTTACCTAATTTTTGCGAATATATAAAAGTTTTTTTTTATTATTGATAATTTGAAAAAATTTCGTTATCTCCCTTAAACAATCTTGTATTTGCAAACAGTATCCATAACATAAAGGATTAACAAGGAATTATGAAAAAAAAAACTGGCAATAATTTGATCTTATTAGAAGTTTTTATTAGAGATTTAAATTATCTGGTTTTCTTATATATTGCTTTTTAGACCTTTTTGTTTGTTTAAATTGTTTGTTTATTTTTTATATAGATTTTTTTTAGTTTTAAGTTTTTAGAACATAATTCTAATGTATAAAATCCAATTGTAATGATGTAAACAACCTAATACTAAATATGTATTGGTACTGTCTGCCATTTATTTTTGTGTCTGGATGTAAACATATTATAAAACATAGTATTGTTTGTAAATAGCAAAAAGTACCTGTATCCTGTTCTCGGCAAGTTTTGTTTGTTGAGAAATTTCATATCGACATTTTAAATCCGGATAATGCGTTTTTTTAAAAACATCTTCCAAAACGCAGGATTGCTTTTTTGAAAATATTGTTCGATTTCTTTTGTTGTTTTCTATTAGATTGCTGACATCATCCGAATTTGAAGTTACTTTACAATAAGAGATATTAGAACCTTCAAGTGATGATCTCAAGTATCCAGTTTGACAAAGTATTGGTTGTCCTAAAAATTTAAATCGTATTTTTTTCTAAAGAAATACTTTTACTATTAATCTTATAAAAATAGAATTTTATTATTATTAGACATTTTAATAATAAAATTTTATTAAATTTAAACCTTTTATTTTTTCAGGTGTAGGGTGTTCAGGTGTAGGGTGTTGTCTTAAGATTGCTTTTTGACTTAAAGAAAATCTATCTTTTTCATCCATAAATACCTTTTTGCTCATCATCTTGCAAAATTTTATTTCTTTTTTTCTGTAAGGTAATTTGTATCGTTCGTTTTTCGAACAGCTGATGATGGGTCTTTGAACTGCGTCTGATGGGTAAAAAAACATTTCGCAAGGTTTCAACAAGAAGATGCCATGAGTGGTTCTGGTGATTTCATGTTTTTTAGTCGATGGAGTAGTTAAAATCCTTTCAATGGAAAAAGATAACTTTGAGCTTTGAGATTCCATTTTTCGTCTCTCTGTCTCTTCACTTGGTTTTTACCTATTCCTGTTAATGGTTAACTTAAACTAAGAAATTTTTGGTGAGTGGTTTATAAATAGTGTTTTCCACTCATCTGTATTAATTAATTGTTCTATTGATTCATTACAAATTAATAGGCGCGAAGACATCAGCTTATTACTTAATGTGTCTAATCTGCTTTCAATGTTTCTAATTGGTCTTTTTTCATTGTAATAGAAAAAATTAAATACATAATTTTTTATTGAACAAAAAAAAAAAAATTTTTAATTTTTAAAATATGATTTAAAAAAAAAACAAATATAGTTATACAATACAGTCAAGTAGTTTCCAGCTACTTTTCTGTATTTATAACGTGGTAAAACCTATTGCAGAACGTTGCAACACAGAAAGTTTATAATTCAGAAATTCCAAATAAAGCGTGGAATAATTAAGGATTGTGACGATTTATTTCTTGACAAAAACATGTACTTTATGTTATAGTAAAGATTTATTTATTAATAATAAACTACGTTACTCCACAAATTTATTAGTAGGATACATGTTGAACAGCTTTACGCAAATTATTAAAAACTATATTAAATAAAGTGTAATAAGAGTGCAAAGCAAATTTAAATTGAGTAAACTGTTTATAAAAAACAAAAAAATATGGAGTAAACTGACACGCGCAACGCAGTTGTAGGGAGTGAAAGCTTCGATACTATTTATTGTCTTTAACTAATACACTTCAAAAATCATAAATTTAAATTAGTTAGAAAATTCAGTAATTTAAGTTAAGTTTTAAATTTCCCACGTCGTTTTTTCCATTCAGGAAGGTCATGCTAACGCAAAAGTGACATTATGTAACACTAGACTACCGGTCTCTATGAAAATGTCAAAAATAAAGTTGATCGAAGAAAAACATTTTTTAAACAAGATTTTTATAGCATATTCTGCCATATATCTCCCCTTAACGGTGCTATCGGTGAAACCATTTATATTTTCTAAAAAAAATCTCCACTTTCCTTTATTGTTATAACTTTGTTAATGAATATTTTTGTATAACATACTAAAATAAACCTGCTGATACTAAAAGCAATATTTATCTATATTTATTAAAAGATATGTTGCCTAGATTTTAGTGGTGGATTACAACTTAAATGTTTAAAACGTTTGAAAAACGTTAACATAACTAATTAAACCTGTACTAGATCTCAATCCAATTTTTATTTAAAAAGTCTAAATTGAAACCATTCAATGATTCATTAAATTTTTTTTTACTTATCCTGGATAACGCATCTATGAGTTTTAGTTTTTTTTGGATTATATATACTTTAATGCTCTTTTGTCTAAACAAATCGTCAATATAATGTTTGTGGAATTTGATAAATATTGTCAGTGCGGTATTTCTTCTATAATACACTGTCTTGTATTAAAATCTCTTTTATTTCACCGGTAAACGATTTAATGAACAGATAAGAAAATATCATATTTATTTTAAGTTAAATATATATATATATATATATATATATATATATATATATATATATATATATATATATATATATATATATATATATATACAGTTACAAAAACTGCAGTTAAATATGGATTTTGTATGAATTTTTACCCCAACATAAGGGGTAAAAATTTATTTGAGTTTGTACGAATTTTTACCCGAATATTTCTAAGTATTTAAATATCAACAATATTTTACGCAATTTTTTTTTGAAAATAATTGTGGCATTAACTTTGAGGAGTGAATATGCATAAAAGTGCATAGCGCGTTTGCATATTTTATGCAAAATTGTTAAAAGAGCAAAAATGCGAGTGTAACAAATAATTATTTTGGTGTTTTTGTAACTCTGACAATATAATGGTTATAACCAAATATAATGATTATAACCAAATATAATGATTATAACCAAATATGATAATTATAATTAAATATAATGATTATAACCAAATATAATGATTATAACCAAATATAATGATTAACCAAATATATTTGAACTTTGGTGCCTAAAAATGAGAAAAACTAAAAATATACCGAAAAAAAACCTTTTCACAAAGAAAAATTGTAAAATTTGTTAATTTTTCTCTAATTGTAAACAGAATCAAAGCAAAATACGATAACAAAATATAACCATAATGTGCCATAAAGTTAGAAAATGGGGTCGCTCACATTTTCTATTTTTGGCACTTTATGGTTGTACTACTACAACAAGTGATTTTTTTAAAAGAGACAAATAAATTGATTGTTTTAAAAATATTTTTGAATTATAAAAAAATATTTATTGTTTTAGTGTATATTTAGTGTATACACTTAGAAATGATATTTTTCATATGAACCCATTTTGTCGAACCGAGTTTTATTAGTTTTGTATAACATATAGTATACAATATCTTTGAAACATACACCTTACAATTTTCTTATTTTGAAATCTAAACTAAGAAATTCAATTCTCTTTCGGGATGATGTAATCAGGTTAATTGTTACTACTTATCTCTGTTTAGAACTTTGTTTTAATAGTAAAATACATTTTGTTTTATCAGATTATTTTTTTAAATGTCAATTTTATACAAGCGCTAATAAAATTTTATACAAGCGCTAGTAAAGTTTTATATAAGCGCTGGTAAAGGGTTATAACAATAAAATTAGTTCAATCTTCCTTTAAAAACTTGTTTTTATTTGTTAAATTATTTTATTTACGACGACAACAAGTGTAAACTTTATAAAATAATTGTATTTTACACAATTATATGTCAAATGTTAACATTGGTGTTGCTAGCTTAATATTAATATTGATATTGCTAGCTTAATTTTAACGTTGGTGTTGCTAGCTTAATGTTAATATTGGTGTTGCTAGCTTAAATATTATCTTTTAAAAATAAAACGTTTATTACTATTTTGACAATTTTTAAAGAGGGGTAAGGCATAAATGGTGATGATGCTTATCTGACGGGATAAACTAGGTATTGGTGCTGATCCTCTTCGAAACGCTGGTAATAATAAACGCAATTCTAAGGAGAAGTTTATTACCACCACTACATAAGTTATGATAACAAAAAATCAATAATGTTATTTCTTTACCTTATACCTCCTATCATTTTATATATATATTTTTTTAAATAGTGATATCTTTATGCATTTGTACAGGGTCGGGTTAAGTACTTCTTGGCCTCCTGGCACTTTAGGTCTTCTGGCTCCAGTTGGCCTCTTAGTATTCTAATTTAACAGCGGTTTTAAAAAAAAATCTTTGTAATTGTTGCGCTATGGCTTTTTAATGTATTTTCTTTTGTATCTAAACAAGCATCTCGCGCTATTTGTTATTAAATTACACGCTGCCATTGTATAGGTTTTAAACACCTTTTGTCTGCATTTTAAGCTTGCAAATGCAGGTATGATATCTTCTAGGTCAATGGAATCCAATACTCAATTTTCTATTTGAACAAGTAAAAGATCTAAAAGACGTTCCTGATCTATTAAATAATGATTGAATAGATTATAGGTAACTTTAAAAATTGGAAAATTTATGAGTATGCAATTAATGAAGATTTTTATTGTTCAAAAGATATTTAATAAAGAGTTCTTTATATTATAAGTATATTTTATGTTGTATATATACTTGTAATTAAGCGACACTTTTGATCCTTTTCAATGTTGAAAATGAACATTCTCCAGAACAATTTGATATCCATGATATCTATACTGCGGAGATTCACAAAACCAAACCGAGAATTCAATCCAAAATAGGCTTTCTTTTATCTAGATCACTCATTGTTTTTCCGTGATCTCATTAATTTTGGCAATCGTTTTAAATTGCCCAAAAAACACTGACGTTTTTGTTAATTTCATCGTAATGTCTCTTGCATGCTCTTGGGCGCCTACTTTGATCGTATATTCATCTGTGATAAACAAATACACAGCTTCTATTTGATATTGCTCAAAATTGAAGCGAACCTGCTGCAAATAATGCTCCAAGGAGTTGTACAGTTCATCAACCATACCTAAATTAAGCTTGACGGACTGCAGTTTCTTGTTAACTTTGTTTTACCCATGAACCCTTTGTCCATGATTCTGTTGATGATTCTCTTTTTGCTTTTTGATTGGGAACAAGAAGCCGTTAAGATCAAGAAGACCCGTCTATATAGAAAATGTTTGTTAATAATATGCACAATCACAAATGAAATATGTTTTTATTTGATTTTCTAAATAATTCTTAATCACTTTGTAAATAGAATAACCCTTTTGAATGGCTAAACAAGCACCAGATATAAATTTCTTGAAGAAAGCTTAAAAAATTAACAGCAGCTCCGTTGGACTCCGCGGCACTTACTTCCATGAAGTTCTAAAAGTGAAACATGAAATGTATTTGGCAAGAACATTAATCTTTTTAGTTCTTGCTTGTAAACCAAAGAAGATTCCAGACATATTATTGCCATTGTCGTATGAACAGCTACAGCAATTTTGAATATTGATCCCATACAAATCTAACTTTTTTAAAACCATTTCAAGAATGGAAACGGCAAACTGATTATGCATTGGAATGAATGCTAAGAACCGCTCAACTGGTTCTCCGTTTTGTAAAACATAACGCAGAATAAAGCAGAGTAGGTCAATGTGCGACTTATCGGAGGTAGAATTAACGATGGTTGAAAAATATTGTATACTACATATGTATAATATAACAAGTTATTTAAGGACGATCATATTATCTATAAGTTCCAAAACCTAGCCGGCTATCAAGTGTATGAGTTCTTCGCAAATGTCTCTAGATAGGTACTTCCCTTTTCTTTGTTTCCATGATTAATAAATTGTTGGGCGAGAAAAGGATCAAATTTTGCTAATACCTCAATACATCCAATAAATTTTCTGTTGCGTATTGATACTAGTTTTTCGTCTGATTCGCGGAATGATAACTCTCTAAGAATGAACAATAAATATAAAATCCAATTATTTTCAATTTTGAAAAATATTTAAGCAACATTATTACGTGATTAATGTGATTTAATTATTCAATAATATAACGTGATAAGTGTGATTCAATTAAAGTATTTATGACTATTAATTTAGATTTATGAATTTAAATTTTCTATATATTACACA